GAGAGAGAGAGAGAGAGAGAGAGAGAGAGAGAGAGAAAGAGAGTCACAAGCAGGCTCCATACTGTCAGCACAGAGCCCAGTGCGGGACTCTAACTCATGAACCAGGAGATCATGACCTGAGCTGAAATCAAGAGTCGAATGCTTAATTGACTGAGCCACTCACGCATCCCTAAGCAAATACTTACTGTTGACAATCACCATCAATATTGAACTTGAAAAACAAAACCAGAAGTTTTAATCCTGCTAGTTAGTATATCACTTTTGTTCATGAAACCTCATCTAATAAAACCTCAATCCATAATGTTTGTGAACCAGAAGATATTTACTAGTACATCATATCTGTTTCTCTGAGACATATACACAACACATATAGACGTCTTCCAAGTATTATTTATTAGTCACTTTTTTTTCAAATGCTGGTTAAGTAGAATAACTAAAAATTCATAATTTTACTTGTTTTAAGCAGGTCTAAAATATAATTAGAAAACCTACTAAATAAAATTGATATACAATCTTGTTTTGTGAATGAAATGACATTAAGAATTGCAAATTTCTTTTTTTTTTAATTTTTTTTAAGTTTATTCATTTTTGAGAGAGAGAGACAGAGCGTGAGCAGGGGAGGGGCAGATAGAGAGACACACACAGAATCCAAAGCAGGCTCCAGGCTCTGAGCGGTCAGCACAGAGCCCGATGCAGGGCTCGAACTCACAAACTGCGAGATCATGATCCGAGCTGAAGTCCGATGACTAACCGACTGAGCGCCCCAGGCGCCCCAGAAGAATTGCAAATTTCTAAGAAATCTTCATGGTTCTTAATCTAATTGTTCAATAGATACTTGTTTAGAGCTAACTTAGTATTAGGCACTAGGGACACAAAGATGAATGTTAATGACATCATCATCATGAATTATATTAGTCTTACTGGATTTCCTTAAAACTTTATAAACATTGGATTGCTCAAGGGAGGTTTTATAATCCCACTTTCTTTCAAATTGTCCAAAATAGATCAAATATCTAGAATATCAGATACCATTCCCTGCTTCTCACCTCATTTGCTATTTGTTAATCATGTCTCTAAGCAGTTAGGAACATTTTAGTTCCCTTCTTAAATTATGCTTATTCTTTCTTCCTTTTTCTTTCTCTTGCCTTCCTTTTTTATCTTCCTTTCATATTCCTTCTTTATATAAACATTGCAGCATTTCACTCTTTCTTTGTAATACAAACATCTAATTCGTTTATTCTGCATATATTTTACAGCGAGAATCAGTCTACATTACATAGTGTTTACATTTAATAATAAAGCATGTACTGCATTTGGAGGTGTATCATATAAATCTGAAAAAAATGTTTCCCAAAAATGTTATAATTATAACATGCTATTCTCTATGCTTTATTAATATGTTTAAGCGTTCCTTTTTATTCAACTTCCATCCCATTTCATTGTTAACATTTTTAAGAGTATCTTGTATCTTCTTCCTGTGCTTTCCTAATACTTTTCCTTCCCATACTCTGATATTTCCATCTTCTCTATTCCACAGAAACTCCTCTAAGAATACTAATGACCTCTTGTTATTTAAATTCAAAGATCATTCTTCAGTTCTATTTCCTTTTGACCTTATATTACATCTACTGCTATCAATCTTGGTTCTTAACATTTTCTAACACTGACTTCCAAGATAGTATGATTTCTTGTGGGAGATGCAGGAGAGAAGTATCAAAGGAAAAGACTCCAAAAGGGAAGGGCTGGAGAAGGTGCAAGGCCTTAGGACATGTTTACACAGCTGAACATGGCTGTGGCAGTAAGGAACCCCTAGAGCCATTAACATTGTCCAGGGCGGATCCTCCCTCCCACCTGACCCTTCCTAGTGTTACAGAAACCAATTAACTCGAAATGTAACCTTGAAAAGCTAAACCATTAGACTGATTAACACTCTTGCTTAGCTGACTTTATGCACATAGTCTTTAGCAATTATCCTAATAAGAAGAAGCTTCATCCTGGAGTTGGGACTCCAGTATGAGGACTTTCACTTAACTGCACTTTGTTTGCAGACTCATCTTTTGCGACTCCGGCCATACTCCCTACAACAATTTCTTAGTTTTCTCACTATTTTTCTGACCAACAGTCTTCTAAACTAACCTACTGGTACAGGGAGGCCCCCCAATATTCAGTCTTTACGCAATAATTTTTTGCACTCTTCATTTGTTCTCTTAGCAGAGTGCATCTACTCATAAGTTCCCATTTACCATCTTTACATAAACAATTTCTAAATCATTTCACTTTTAGTTCTCTCAACATCCTTTTTATTTAAAAAATTCTTTATTTTTTAAACTTTTTAGAATGTTTTATTTATTTTTGAGAAAGAGAGAGAGAGAGAGAGAGAAACTAGCAGGTGAGAGGCAGAGAGAGAGGGAGACACAGAATCCAAAGCAGGCTCCAGGCTCTGAGCTGTCAGCACAGAGCCCAAGGCAGGGCTTGAACTCATGAACTTTCAGATCATGACCTGAGTTGAAGTCGGATGCTTAACCGACTGAGATAAAAAATAAAAAAATTATTTTTAAAAACTTTCTTCAGCTGTCCGCTGTCCATCAATACCCCATCTGAAAGTCTTCATAATTGGAGAAACTCATGTTTCCAATATAAACCAATATTTTTTCCTAAGTTCCTGGCTGCCACCCTCATTATTTCTTAGACCTCCTAATATTTCTCAGTTCCTTAGATTTTCTTACAATAGCTAAGCAGAACCACACATTTCTTCTCTCCATTTCCATATCCAAGATTATAAGATCTCTTAATGCAACTCTCATTTTTTTCCTTTATTGTTATTTTCATTGTGGTTAAATATACATAACACAAAATTTACCATTTTAACAATTTTTAAGTGTATAGTAAGTTCTATGGCAGTAAGTATGTTAATAATGTGCAACGATCACTACTACCCATCTCTAGAACTTTTCTATCTTCCCAAACTGAAACCATGCATCCATTAAAATAGTAACACCTTATTCTTTTACATGTTTTTAAAAGATGCTTATTTATTGATTTTGAGAGAGAGAGAGCATGTGCATGCACACGAATGGGGGAGGGGCAGAGAGAGAGGCAGAGAGAGAATCCCAAGCAGGCTCCGAGCTGTCAGCATAGAGCCTGACACAGAGCTTGATCCCATGAACCATGAGACGATGACCTAAGTTGAAATTAACAGTCAGACACTTAACCAACTGAGCCACCTAGGCACGCCTTATCTATATTTTTTTCTTTTAAACTATTGTTGTTGTTGTTTTAAGTAATTTCCACTCCCGGTGTGGGGCTGAAGTTGTGACCCTGACCCAGAGATCAAGAGATGCATACTCTACTGATTGAGTCAACCAGGCACCTGTCTTTTTCCTTTTTAAACCGCCTCTAGTTCTATTTCAATTCAAACTACTTATCTGCTAAATTAATCTTCTGCAAATAAGATTTAATTGCCTTTCCATTTTCATACACCTGATATTATTTATCAGGGCAAAAGCAATAGTTATTCTTTGAATGCAGTAATTGTTGAAAAAATATTGCTGATGGTAATGTACTAATGCTGGTTTAAGAATTTTAGTCAGTCATGTTTCTAAAAAAACAAAAATTCTGAATTAGGATATATAAAAATATCTGTGGTCTAAATTCCAGTAATATAAATAAAAAGTTTCAAAGTTCTAATAATGCTGTGATACTACTGCAATTCTGCTATGCCTAGAAAAACACCTCAACTGAGTACTCTGTACTTCCAATTAACTAGAAAATATACTTCTAAATAATAACTGCCTAACCTGTAGTTAATCTAAGTAATTATTAATTTATTTTATTTTTAGAATTATAAACTACTGCTAAATGTTTACTGTTTTTAAAGCAAAAAAACAAACAAACAAAACAAAAACAAAAAACACCTCAACCCCACTACTAATCTTTGTTATTATTAAATAGTTCCATTATATAGTTTGTCCAGTGCTGGTTCAATTGACCATTTTTCCTTTTTCTATACTTTTAATGGTATTATTCCTATAAGATAGAAGCCATATATATCAAGTCATTTTGTACACCATCTAGCAGAATGCAATGCACACATATTGGTAGTTAAAGTTTTTATAGGACAATAATGAGAGTAATGTAATCCTAACAAAAAGAGAAAAACTATAAACTCATTTGGTTAATTCAAATAAGCCTTAAATAAGCATTCATATTAAATGGGTGTTCTTTCATTGAAAGGAAGGAAGGAAAGCAGGAATCAGGAAGTCAAGAAGGAAGAATGAAAAAAATAAAGGAAGAAAGAAAAAAGTGTTCCAATGGTAAATTCATTGTTTCTAACTTCTTGGGTCAATTCAGGGAATATTTTAAGTATAGCTTATCAAATGTTCAGAGGGTACATAAGGACAACAATGACTGCTAAAGCAATCTAACTAAACACAGATAAGCTATTATGAACAATTAACTAAATTGCATTCAGGGGTGCTTGGGTGGCTCAGTTGGTTAAACATCCGACTTTGGCTCAGGACATGATCTCCCAAGTTTGTGAGTTCAAGCCCCGCATCAGGCTCTGTGCTGACAGCTCAGAGCCTGGAGCCTGTTTTGGATTCTGTGTCTCCCTCTTTCTCTCTTTCTCTCCCCAGCTCACACTCTGTCTCTCCATCTCTCTCAAAAATCAATATAAAAACAAACAAACACCTGCACTCAGATGCAAAGTTGGGATCTGTTTACAAAGTTATTTCTAATTGACATCCTTCTGCTAATAATGTTTCTGAACACTAGATGGCAATAAACTAAAGGTTTAAGTGAAAGTAAAAACATAAAAGTTGACTCAATTTAAAAGTCGAAAAAGATGATAGAACTGCTTCACTCAAAACATGTATCAATTTTTGACAGCAATTCTCTTACCTGGGAAGAGGTCTGTACATCTCATAAATATCTCCCAATAAATGAGTCCAAGTGCATACATGTCTACTTGTTTCAAAGCTGATTCACAGTCCCTCAAGTTCACAGCTCCTTCTAGAACTTCTGGTGCCATATATCTGATTGTGCCAACCTGATAAATTAGAGTGACATTTTTCAGAAACATAATGTAGCATATTCTGACATGCATACATCAGACCAGAAGTTATACATAAATTTCATGTCAACTATATGTCAATGACACATTATTTGACCTTATGTATATCACTGAAACTTTCTATACCTAATTTTTTACCTACAAAACACCCTTCTTGAATAAACTGTGGTAAATCTTTTCTATTGAATACTATTCATCAATCAGAAAGAATAAGCTAAACTATCCTATGTATGTCAATGAAGAAACGTTTGCAAGACACAATGAGAAAAGTGCAATACAATAGTATAATATAAAAAGTACAATAGTATGTACGTCATTTAATATATATATATTTTAATGTTTATTTATTTTTGAGAGACACAGACAAAGTATGAGCAAGGGAGGGCAAAGAGAGAAGGAGACACAGAATCCGAAGCAGGTTCCAGGCCGTGAGCTGTCAGCACAGAGCCCGATGCGAGGGCCAAACCCACAAACCATGGGATCATGACCTGAGCTGAAGTCGGATGCTCAACCACTAAGCCACCCAGGCACCCCCATAATTTAATATTTAAAAAAAATTTTTTTTAATTAAAAAAATACATACACATGGAGAGAGAGACGTGTATGGGGATGTAGAGAAAAAGGTCAGGAAGGATGTGGTCCACATTTCAACAGTGATTATCAGAAGGTGACTGTCCTGTCTTAAACTTAGAAATTTTACTCCTGCTTCAAAAATCAGTTCTTAAAAAAGAAAATACAGTTCCTACAATCCTCCTCCCAGTGCCTCTCAAAAATGAGTTGTGGGGGGCACCTGGGTGGCTCAGTCTGTTACGCATCCAACTCTTGATTTTGGCTCAGGTCATGACCTCACAGTTCATGAGACTAAGCCATGCATAGGGCTCTGCGCAGATGGCACAAAGCCTGCTTGGGATTCTCTCTCTCCCTCCCCTGTGCTTTCTCTTTCTCTATCAAAGTAAATACATAAGTAGATAGATAGATAGATAGATAGATAGATAGATAGATAGATAGATAAACATTTAAAAAAAATGAGTTGGAACAAGCAGTGATTTCCATAAAGAACTGATAAACTTTATGCAAGGTCTTCTGTAGGTCTTAATTTTGTAATTCCTAATATGCTGTAATTGGTAGCATATAAGGGTAACTGTCCTGGATAGATTTTTTTAATGCTTCATTATCTTCTCGAAGTACATCAGAGTGATACCTTTTGTATACACTCACCTCACTTATGGCTGCATTATCTTCTTCCCCTGGGCGTACCAGTCTATTTCCAGTTAGCCTCATGGACAATCCAAAGTCACTAATAACACAGGTTCCATCATTTTTCACCAGGACATTTCTGCTGTTTAAATCTCGATGGGAAATCGCAGGTTTATAATGATCTGTTTAGATAATTTCAAATATTTATTAATGCTTAAATAGCACTGTTGGACATAAACATGCAGGTAATAGGGACTACAAAAATATAGATGATTGTATTATTTTTCTGCCATTTAATTTTCTAATAACAGAAAGGGACACAAGAAAGCAGTTTCAACTCATAATCATCACTATTTTCACTATATTTTATAACATAAACTACTGTTGCATGTGTAATTAAGCTTTAAATATTTAGCTGCAACTAATAGCCAACATGCTATTGCTTCTAATTTTAAAACATACTTGTTTTTTTTCCCTTTTTCTAAGGGTAGCAAAAGGAGGCAACAGAGAAAGAAATATTTAGTATAAATAACTAAAAAAAGTCAACTTGCCAAGATGCCTCCAAAATCTGTATATTGTATGTTATACTATTCTCCTATGGCTTCACTGATCAAACCTATGACAGAACATCCCAGTTCTGCCCTCAGGGTTAGCCCTGTTTCTAAGCCCACCTCAGTTATTCAAATCAAACTAGAAAAAGTTTTACAAAGGACCTGGAGAATAAGTAGAGGAGCTGGTATCTCACAAGATATGAAAACCTGTTTTCTGATTTTACAGAGAAGCAGAGCACTATTATACTCACATTACTTATCACTAGACTGTATGCTCCATGAAGGTAGAAAGAGAACATGTTTTACCTGAATTCAAAAGGCTTGGCACACAATAAATGTTTGCTGACTGAAAGAATGTATCTAACCTAAGCTGCCCCACCAAAAACATATTTCTTTCCTATCTTTAAGGAAACCTTATATAAATATTATATTAAGCAAAACTATAGCTCCTGAGTTGAAAACATTGTTATACAATTTCTGAAATTTAAAATAAGTCTCTAGGTATACAAAGAAACAGAGCAATCAGAACAAAGTCAATGATAACTTTATTGAGTATTTATATTTAGGCCCAAATAGGCTCAGTATTTACATTCATTACTCTCATTAATGAATATCAGACTATAATTTCACCAACAATGAAACTAAAAACAGAAGATAATGATTCCTGTCACAATTGGAAGACAAAAATAGTAGTTAAAAAAGAGTTGATTTCTTGTTCATTTTCTCCCCTCTCACCTCCTGGTCTAGCCTTCCAAAGTTGTACTAACATGGCTCACTCAGCCCCTAAAAGAGTTGCATTTCTTATTCTGGATAAAACCACAATACTAGTACGTATAGTATAATCTCAAGGTGATATTTATATAAGAAACTTATAGAGATATAAAAATGTTTCTATATTTGGAAAATTTTTGTATATTAATACCAAATCAATACTTAAAGATCTCACACTTAAGGAAATTAGGCAAAAATAATGGGGAGAATGGGCAATGAGTCAATGATACAGCCAGAGAAGAAAATAGGGTAGTACCTTCTGCTACTATATAAGAAAAAAAAAAAAAAAGACATGAAATAATGAAAGAAGAGGGGTGGGGAGCAAAGAAGGAAGGGGGTAAAGAAGAAAACAAGGGAAAGGAAGAGAAGAAAGGAAACAAGATAGGTTTCATTACCAATGTAAAGGGTAGAACTATAGACTGCCCTTTTGAGAGACTTTTCCCCTTAAAGTTCTCCTCGGTATTCCTTTTAATCCTTTTCATTTGGGGGTAGGGAGTGCAGAGAAAGGAGAACATACAATAATTTTGCCCTGGACAGTAGCACTGTACTAGGCAAATATTTCAAAGAAAAGCAGGGCATACTATTATTTTAATTGTGTTAAAAAATAAAACCTGAACAAAAAATAGTCTCTGTGGACACATACACACAGCAAAGGACTTAGAAGGATGTACATAGTTAACAGTAATTTTCTGTTAGATTTGAGTGATCCATAATATGTTCTTTCTTTGTTAGATTCGGGGGGAGGGGGGAGTATGGTAATAAGTTTCACTGACATTATCAGGAAAAATTCATAAGGAGGACAGTTACAAATAAATAAGCAGGCTCAATTCCTCCTTATTCTGAAGCTAAAAACAGCTAAATAAAATAATAATAGTATTATTTCTTACCATAAAATTTCTATGCCAAACAGCAAAGTTACATTTGAAGATACTGGGGGTAGGGGGTGGGGTAGGGAGTGTGCCTGGGTGGCTCAGTCAGTTAAGTGTCCAACTTCAGCCCAGGTCATGATCTCACAGTTTGTGAGTTTGAGCCCTGTGTCGGGTTCTGTGCTGAAAGCTCAGAGACTGGAGCCTGCTTTGGATTCTGTGTCTCCTTCTCTCTCTCTGCCCTTCCTCTGCTCGTGTTCTCTCTCTCTCTCTCTGTCTCTCAAAAATAAATAAACGTTGAAAAAGAAATTAAAAAAAAATGAAGATACTATGAAAAATAGTGTTCTCTGACAAAAAGTGAAATAACACTTTAAATATTTTGAAATAATACTGTATATTTCCAATACCTTTAAAATATTAGGTAAAAGCATAAATTCAAATAGCTACTATACTAAAAAAAACCCACAAAACCCCCAAAATAGCTATTGTATTTATTTATTTTTTGCAATACTATGTATATACTCAGTTTAAAAAAAAAAGGTTAACTAAAAAAAAGGGGGGGTTAACTAGTTTAAGTGATATTAGCTAATATTTGAAAGTAACATCTACATCTAAATAAAACTCTTATTTGATGGCAATCATTCTTTTCATTTTTTTGAAACCTTGTTAAGTCATGCAAGTCTTGAAAAGGGGAATGAGGATGGTATTTTAAGTTCTGCGCTAAGCCAGCTTTTTAAGTGAATTATAATAACACTTAAGAGTAAGGAAGCATAGTCCAAATGGTTAGTGTCCTAAAGCACCAGAATAAGTGCATCAAACTGCTGACATAGGCGATAACATTGGTCAATTCTGTATTCAGGAAAAGCAAGATGTCAAGATAAATGAAGTGATAAATTATTCAGGAGAAATTTTTTATATATGAAGCAGCAGCTAGAAAAGATGACCCACACTATTATACAATAGAAGAAAGATCTAAGAAACTGATATATTAAAGATTCTCTTATCTACAGGGGTCAAAGAAACTGAAAAAACAATATTCTGGGCTGTAGTACGACAAGAAAATCCGTAAGGGATGAGAGCTTGAGAAAGCACTAAGACTGATTTTTGCAACAAAGCTAATTTAGATGTGCCTGTGATGTATGTTTTGAAACAAAGTGAGAAAGTAAATGTATTAAAAAGATGTTTTGAACAACTACCAAAAATGTGCACAGATGCTGAAGAAAACTGTAGTTATGACAAAGAACACAAACCACAGTTCTGAAACACTGGCGAAGATCAACTCCCCAGCATGCATTATCCTCCTTCTACTCAGTAACAGAATCCAATATTATTTGATATAGCAACACAGCCAACACAGCCAGCTTAAAAACAACAACAATAATAACACCAACAACTGTATTTAAGTGTGGTAGTTAAGTGTGAACTAAGTTCTGTAAAATAAAATATACGTATGAGAGTAGAGCTTCTGGAGGCAGAAGGGGGCAATTCCTTCTACCTTCCCTTCCTTTCCCTTACTGATTAGAATATAGCATGATGGACAATGAGGTGACCTTGAAAATGTAAGCCATATGTAAAGAATAATGGGAAAAAAAACGAATAATGGAGGAGAACTATTACTGGAGGCTTAGGCTACACCAAACCAATTTTAGACTCTCTCTAAATTCTTACATAAGAAAGAAAAAAAATTCATTCTTATTGAAGCCTGTGATTTTTTCCCCCTGACAGATCTGACCAAACCTAATCCTAGCTAAGAGAAACACTAAGTTATAAAAAGATATGTGTAGGTTTTATACTAAAGACCAGTCAAATATAGAATAAAAATCCATATGATGTTAAAACTAAAGAATTGGTAATGCGCTGTATTTCATTTAAATAAGCAAATAAATGCAAGGAAATGTACTACAGCCTAGCTAAGAGCTTCTCAACCTAAGTTCATTGATGGACTTTAACGGGTCTGAGAACCCCTAGAATCAAATGAACATTTTTATAAGTTTGCCATACATGTATCTTTACAGAGGTGTTCAGAGCTTTACTCAAAATCTCAATAGGATCCATGACCTCTCCAGGGTCTCGAAGTTCTTTTTGTTATTCTTCCTGTTATATTTCAAATATATTTCCTCAAGCCAGATACTTCAAACAACTGGCTAATAATAAATCTGCTATTATATAAAATATACTCTTAGTTTGAAGATATGAATACAATTTCCCTTTGTGAATTTTGCCCCACATGAATGTCATTCATCTTCTACTCATTGTCTTACCTCCTCGTGGCAATTCTGTATGAAGATAAGCCAGACCTCTAGTCACAGAATGAGCCAGGCGGCAAGAACTGACCCAATCACTTGTATGGAGACTCAAATACTTGCAGAGAGATCCCTATATAAAAGAAGAAATACACAAATACAAAAAAAAAAAAAAAAAAAAAAAAAAAAAAAAAAAAAAAAGTGGAATTAATTTACTTGTACATAAGGAGGTAAATTAGCAGTAGCCTGACAAAGTATTTAAGTAGGTTAGGATTCCATGGAGATTTAATGAACTATGACATTTCAAAATCTCAAAACAGTAAGACATTTCTGTGAATTGAGAGGGGAGAAGATGATGGAAAGGATAATTTAAAATTATTAATTTTTTTCTCCAATGTTAAAAAGTATAAGTGAGTATTTCATATTAAATGTTTCTTTTGTTTCTGAAATTAAGATAGAAAACATAGTCTTTTACATTCTTTCTTTATACTGTATCTCTTACCAGTACAAATACAAATTAAATTGTTATGTTTTACAAGTATGAAACAGAAAGCTTTCATAAATATGTATGTGTCAGTGCTATTCAAGGTGCTCATCCACAAAGTATTTACCAGTCAGGGATAAAGAGCTTGCACAAGAATGAACGTCAGTCAAAACACTGTTTCCTTCATCAAGAAAGTCTTGCTGAGAGGGAGAGACAGACAGACAGACTGACAGATGAACTAAAAAGTTAACTAGTGACTTGGTTGATTCACATTCTGATGTGAGATCCTTATCTCACAGCAAACCATTATTAACCAGTTTGCAAACCACCAATGTTCTACATAACAGTAGTCCTCCTAAAATTCTGATTGACAGCTAATATAAATGTCAGTTTAATTTTTATAAAGAACTTACATTGGGATAATACTCCATCACAAGCAAATATTCCATGCGTCCATCTGCAGTAACTCTCTCATCTCCAACTATAAAGCGAGCAATGTTGTCATGTTCCATTAAAGGCACTCTGTAAATGTTCTTCTCATTGATAAAATTCTGACGGTTTGCAAAGGAAAACACTTTTACAGCAACTGGACGTTCATCTAAGGAACCTTTATATACTGCTCCATATCGACCCCGGCCAATCAGCTGTAAATTTGTTTTGAAGAAAGCAAGGTATTAATTCATATCATAACTGAACAATCAATTTTCTAGAAAAGTGTAAATCCAAATGTATACCACAGTTCTCTATTGCTTATAGTTTAAATTACTCCACTGTCAAGAAACTAATAAATTCTACATCTCATATGGCTCAGGAAACTCCTATCAGACCCAGCCCTCCCATAGATAACAACTATGAACTCTGAACAAAATTTTAAAAAGAAATCTAAAAGTGCTAGAGAATGAACAAAAGGAAGTAGATTCTGAGGGGAGTCAACACTTAAAAGAAAGGAATGCCATAGGGTGAACTACTCATTTTTATAGCTTTTAGCCTGAAAGCAGGCTGACACAAACACTGCACAGTGCAGTTAGAACTGCGATAGAAAATCTGTAGTCTTCCTGGCCCTAGGAGCCAGAGGACAGAATTTAGGGCAACCAAAAATGCTGGAAAGGGAGAGGAGAATCCCACAAAGAAGAGTGAGAGAGGGGGAAATGAAATGAATACTTGAGACCAATTCCAGCTAAAGATAAAACAATTGCAGTGAGATTTGAGCTTCCATCTAAGAGACAAGGAGTTCACAGTACGTCCAACCAAGTTAACTGCCTACTAAAACAAATAATGGAAATAAACACACTTTAGAAAAACCTACCAGAACACAAGGTCTCCTCAATATAACATTCACAATATACAGGACACAATAAAAAAATAAAATCAGCAAAATGCAACCCATTCTCTTCATTTTTGGCTTCTGGGGATTTTACTTTACTGAAACAGGTTAAGGATTTACCATCATTTATTTAATATTTTTGTCATATTTAACTATTTCTAGGTTAATTACTTAATAAACAGACTGCCTTTTAGAAAGGCTGTATCAATATATAGTTAAATCAGCAATGTTTGGGAGTATTTTACTCAGTCCAGGATAAAATCCTGTGGTTTTAACTAGTATTTTTTTTTCCAATTTAGTAAATTGGTCATCTTATTATGCATTCAAAAGCTACCTTTAATTCTTTTATGAATTGACACTTCATCTTTTTGGTCCAATTTTTATGGATTGTTGCTTCTATATTGATTTATACTAGCTCTTTAACAATTCTACTTTATATGTTGAAATGCTTTTTTGAATATTTTAACTTTGTTTATTGTATTTTTCTCCCAAACAGAAGGTTCCTAAAATGTTTTATATAACTAAATCTACCATATCTATTATTTAACAGTCTCTAGTATGGGGATCATAGTTTATTTATTCTAATAATAATCATAAAAACATTCATCATGGTAAGACTATAACATAGGTTCTGAGATATTACCATATAACAGTTGTATATACCTATAAAAATATGCAATATATGCACAAACAAGGAATATTTATTTGGCATATACCGTGGGTTGCTTGAATGGCACATTCTTCTCAGAATTTCACATGTCTTTATTCCTATACACTATTGCAGTCTATACTCAAAGATCATCTCCTTTCTAAATACACTTTCTGTCTCCTTTCTAAATATACTTTCTTTACTAAACCGCTTTCCATCTTTTTCTTTTTAACTGTTTTATTTTTCTCTATAGCACTTACTACTAATAGAAGTAATATACATTTATTTGTTTCACCTCTTTGTAGACTCTTTCCCACTAGAATACAAGTCTCAAGGCGGCTCTCTGTAGTTTTTACCTATATTCTCAGTGCCTGAAATAGGCCTTGGTACCAAACTGATAATTAATAAATGCTCAAAGAATAAATGGATGAATGATGCAGTGAGTGAATGAAGTTACTGTCTTAGATATACTATGAGAGCAGAAAGAACAGTCCATATGTTCTACAATCTTACCTCCAACAGTTTCAGATTATCTAGGTCAAGAGAGGGTTCTGATGCTGCTGCCTCCATCATGTTCATACTGTGAAGACCTTGTTTACGGTCTCCTATAACAATAGGAAAAAGAAGTTGCTAATGTACGGTTCTCTTAAAATCTTTATTACACTTTTTCTTATAATTGCTAAAAAAGAAGAACTACAGAAGGCAGGCAGCAAGATTTATGCCCAATGTCACCAAGAGTAAAACTATTTACTAAACTAAGAATTATCTATAAATGAAGATGAATGATGAATAATAACATTAAAGCTGAATTTTGGGAGATAGTTCTAGTAACAGACCTAATTTAAAATTCGAAGAAATATTGCAGAAACATTAAAGAAGGTTTTAATAACTTAAAAAAAGTGATTCAAATGAATGAATGGGTACTGATTTTCTAAAAAGCTCATTAAACCTAAAATTTATTAGCACTGACTGGACAATTGGGGTGCTTGAGTGGCTCATTCAGTTGGGCGTCCAGCTTCATTCAGCTCAGGTCATGATCTCACAGCTTGTGAGTTCAAGCCCCACGTCAGGCTCTGTGTTGACAGCTCAGAGCCTGGAGTCTGCTTCAGATTCTGTGTCTCCTTCTCTCTCTGCCCCTCCCCTCCTTGTGCTCTGTCTCTCTCTCTTTCTCAAAAATAAATAAACATTAAAATAAATATTAAAAAAAAAGAACTGACTGGACAGTTGATGATACTGAAGATGATACTGAATAAAAATAATTTATTTATTTATTTATTGGTGTGAAAATAGTATTGTGGTTACATATACTTTAAGTCCTTATATTTCAGAGATAATACTAAAGTTTTCACAGATAAATGACATATGCAATTTACTTCAAAATACCCAGTACCATGAAGGGTGTGGTGAGTGGGGCTATGGATGATATATAGATGTAATAATCATTGAAGTTGGGTGATAGATATTTTGTATATGCTTGTAACTTTTCATAAAAACTAAGAAAAAAAGTTTGCGAAGAGAGGATGGGACGTACTGTAGCACAGAGTTTTTTTTTTAGCATAGAAACTTCAAAAAGGAAAAAACTGATTCTGACTAAATGGTATATTTGATACAAAAGAACAAAAGGAGATACTTTTACCTGTCAGCATCCTGTATCCAAAGCATAAGGCAACTATCAAAACAGCTAATACAGAGACTGATGCCAAAGCAATGATTATTGTCTCATCTCGGTTAAATGAATGAGGTGGACCTAAAAGAAGACAAATTTTAAAACACAGTTATTTCTTATTTTATCATTTTGTTAAGAACTGACAGAAAGGCTATATCAATATATAGTCAATCAGCAATGTTTTTGCATCAAAGGAAATTAAAGAAAAATAATAAATTTGTGATGATCACAAATTATGTGTTTTTAATCATACAAATGATCTTATAGATTTACAACACTGAAACACCTGTTGGCTGTGCTAATTAATGAATATCAACTACATCATAGAACAGCATAGGCAGAATAAAACAATATTAAGAGAACAGTCTTTGGAATCACATTTGGTTCTAAATCCTGACTATGCCACTCTTAGTGGAATTTGGCAAATTATTTGCCTTTTCTGATCTTTAATTTTCTCATTTATAAAGTCAGTACTCTCTACCTCAAAAGTCTTCTGTGAGGCTTAGATGGGAGTCTAAGTACTTAGTACCATGTTGAGTATATATTATTTATGCAACAAATGGTAGTTTATCAATATTGATATTATGATTATTAACGAAAAGAACATGGCTTTACAGGCAATGAAATCTGAAGTGGGCTTAAAACTCAGTTCTTCCGGGGCGCCTGGGTGGCGCAGTCGGTTAAGCGTCCGACTTCAGCCAGGTCACGATCTCACGGTCCGTGAGTTTGAGCCCCGCGTCGGGCTCTGGGCTGATGGCTCAGAGCCTGGAGCCTGTTTCCGATTCTGTGTCTCCCTCTCTCTCTGCCCCTCCCCCGTTCATGCTCTGTCTCTCTCTGTCCCAAAAATAAATAAACGTTGAAAAAAAAAAAAAACAACTCAGTTCTTCCACTTATTGCATGACCTTGGGAAAATTTCTTCACCTGTCTGAGCCAAAGGTTATTCACCTGCAGATAGGGAACACACATATCTAAACTACAGGGCCATTACAAGCATGTACACTATACTATGTGTTAGTTCCATTCTGTGGACCAGATGAAACACACTTTAGGATGGATTTCCACAAACTGGAGCACATTCAGAAGAGAATAGTGAAGAACTCTAAATTGTGATGGGTAGAAAGAACTGAAGTGTCTGGTGTGGAACAAGAAAAACACTAGAGAAGATAAATAATTGTCTTTATGTGGAAAAAAGGACTTAACAGCTAGCGAGAACATAAGATCCAATCAGTGTGTGTTCAAGGACAGCAGTTTTTAACTCAGTATGCACAAGAATTTATGGCTGATAAATAGAGCTGTCTAAAATGGAATGAGTTACCCTATGAAATAGCTGTTCATATATTTTTTTTAATTGAAGGTATTCACTGTTTGGTAATAATGACCAGAGGGTAGGCTTGATGACTGATAACATCATTATTTAATAATTCTTTACATTCAAGGGGCGCCTGGGTAGCTCAGTCGGTTGGGCATCTGACTTTGGCTTGGGTCATGATCTCATGGCTCATGAGTTCCAGCCCTGTGTCGGGCTCTGTGCTGACAGCTCAGAGACTGAAACCTGCTTCAGATTCTGTGTCTCCCCCCGCCTCTCTCTGCCCCTGCCCTGCTCATGCTCTGTTTCTCTCTGTCTCTCAAAAATAAATAAACATTAAAAAAATAATAATAATTCTTTACATTCAAATTCAAGCATATGTTATTTTAAATCTTTCTCACTTCGGACATTATAATTATGTGTTGTATCAAACTAGAAGCCTCTGGCAAAGTCAGAAGCTTCTATAACAAAGAGTTCCTCCAATGTGCATTCCTGTTCTAAAGGAATGTATTTGTGTCAAATTAAACACAACTGAATATTACAATGTCAAAACAATATCTCTATAGAAGAATCTTCTGGTGCACTATAACACTTACTCATTTAGCAAGTCAAACTCCAGGCTTGTACCTAAACCCAGAGTCACTTTATTATTTTTAATTTTTATTTATTTGTTTATTCAAGTATAACATACGGTGTTAATATTAGTTTGAGGTGTACACAATATAATGATTCAAAAGTTCTATGTATTTCTCAGCACTCATCAATATATGTAACAATCATTTAATCTGCAGTATATTTGGGGCGCCTGGGTGGCTCAGTCGGTTAAGCGTTGACTTTGGCTCAGGTCATGATCTCGTGGTTCCTGGGTTTGAGCCCCGCGTTGGGCTCTGTGCTAAAAGCTCAGAGCCTGGAGCCTGCTTTGGATTCTGTGTCTCCCTTTCTCTTTCTGCATCTCCCCTGCTCACACTCTGTCTCTGTCTCTGTCTCTCTCCCAAAAATAAATAAACATTAAAAAATTTTTTTAATCTGCAGTATATTTACATACTTATCATTTAACATAATGATAATTGTACCTTCTTCTATAGAATAAATTATAGGGAGAAAGCTACATATAAAAACTCATTTTACAATCAGATATCACTTCTCATATACTAGGATGGCCATAATTAAAAAAAAAACAAAATAAAAAGTGTTGGCAAGAATATGGAGAAATTAGAACTCTTGTACATTGCTGGTGGGAATGTAAATAGTGTAGCTGCAGTAGAAAACATTCTGGAAGTTCTTCAAAAAGTTAGACATAGAATTACCATAAGACCTAGCAATTCCCCTCATAGGCATATACCCAAAAGAACTGAAAACAAGTGTTCAAACAAAAACTTCTACAGGAATGCTCATGGCACACTAATCATAATAGCCCAAAGTGGAAACAACATGAATGTTAATAAACCGATGAATGAATAAACAAAATGTATTACAGACTGAACTGTGTTCTCTTAAAATTCATATGGTGAAGACTTAACACACAATGTGATGGGTTTTGGAGATGGGACCTTTGGGATTAGGTTTAGATGAGCCACGGGAGTGGGGCCTTCATGATAGGACTAGTGCCCTTATAAGAAGAGATGTCAGAGGACTTTCTCTCTCTGCCATGTGAGGAAACGGTGAGAAGGTAGCTATCCACAAGCCAGAGAGTTCTTAACACAATCCAACCAGGCTGGCACCCTAATCTTGGACTTCTGGCCACTAGAACTGTGAGAAAATAGATTTCTGTTGTTTAAGCCACACAGTCTATTCTGTTTTATTGTGGCTGTGAGGGTGGCAGAATATAATACCTCATAATATGCCTCTTTGGCATAAGGACTATCTTGAGCTGGTTATTTTTAAGAAACACCAGACACAGAGGCAACTGGGTAGCTCAGTCGGTTAAGCATCTGACTCCAGCTCAGGTCATGATCTCCCGGTTCGTGAGATTGAGCCCCGTGTAGGGCTCTGTACTGACAGCTCAGGGCCTGGAGCCTGCTTCCAATTCTGTCTCCCTCTCTCTCTGCCCCTTCCCTGCTTGTGCTCTCTCTCTTAAAAATAAATAAACACTGAAAATAAAATTAAGAGAAAAAAGGAACACCAGACACAGACGCAGCTCTGAAAACCAAGTAGAAGTTACCCTTTTATAAAAGGCATTTACATTTGTGAGGAAAATCTCCATTTGTAAGTTGTCTCCGTCTCGGTACTAGGAAGACGAAAATGACTAAAACTCTTGAAACTTTAAAAAAAATTTTTTTTTTAATGTTTATTTATTTTTGAGACAGAGAGAGACAGAGCATGAACGGGGGAGGGTCAGAGAGAGGGAGACACAGAATCTGAAACAGGCTCCAGGCTCTGAGCTGTCAGCACAGAGCCCAATGCAGGGCTCGAACTCATGGACCGTGAGATCATGACCTGAGCCGAAGTCGGCTGCTTAACCGACTGAGCCACCCAGGCGCCCCTAAAACTCTTGAAACTTTTATCAGTAGAGATGACAAGGACTTAAATCTACATAACAACCATACACTTGTTTACTGTGCTTTTCCTAGTAACAATCCGTTACTGGTCTTTCCTTAACCCACTCCCCCTTCCCCATTTTCTTTTGGCTTAGCTGGAGACAGTATTTACCCTGGTTACTTGGGCTACTTCAGAGATTTACTCAATTTTCCTGGGAATCTCTCATGTATGCAGGAAGTTTATATGTTAAACTTCTATTTGTTTTTCTCCTGTAATACTGTCTTTTACAATGAAGGTGGAAGGGATGTGACACTATTTTTGAGAGAGAGAGCGCTAGTGAGCAAGGGGCAAAGAGAGAGAGGGAGAGACAGAGAATCCCACCAAGGGCAGAGAGAGGGAAATGGAGGGAGAGAGAGAGATGGAGATGGAGAGAGAGAGAAGGAGAGGGAGAAGGAGAGAGAGAAGGAGAGGGAGAAGGAGAGAGAGAAGGAGAAGGAGAGAGAGGGAAAGGGAAAGAGAAAGAGAGGGAGAGAGGGGGAGACAGAGAAAGAGAGAGAGAGAGAAAAGTGAGGTTCACATTCACCCGGAATGGAGCTTGTGCTCACCCAGAGCAGGGCTCAAGTTCACCCAAAACAGGGCATGAGCTCATCAGATGTGGAACTCGAACTCACAAACCTTGAGATGATGACCTGAGACGAAGTCAAATGCTTAAGGACTGAGCCACACAGGCACCCTGTTTTCCTATTGTTAACAGTTCTTTGCATATTTTAGGACACAAATCTTTGATATGTGTTTTGCCAATATTCTATCCTAGTATGGCTGGTCTTTTCATTGTCTTGGTATGAGGGTAATGCTGGCTTCACAGAATGAATTAGGAAGTGTTCCCTCTGCTTCTATTTTCTGAAAGTGATTTAGAGAATTGGTATCATTTCTTCTTTATTATTTTTTTAAATTTTTATTTATTTATTTTTGAGAGGGAGAGAGCACAAGCATGAGCAGGGGAGGGGCAGAGAGAGGGGAAGAGAGAGAGAATCCCAAGCAGGCTCTACACTGTTAGCACAGAGCCCGATGTGGGGCTCGAACTCACAAACTGTGAGATCAGGACCTGAGCAGAAATCAAGAGTCCGAATGTTGAACTGACTGAGCCACCAGGCACTTAGGTATCATTTCTTCTTTAAATGTTTGCTAGAATTCAACAGTGAAACCACCTGAGCCGAGTGCTTTCTGTTTTAGAAGGTTATTGATTATTGGTTGAGTTTCTTTAATAGATAATGCCTATATTTCTCTCTGAATTTTG